TCCTCCTCCATCTCCTCCTATTCCGCCTCCTCCCCCTCCGCCTCCTCCTCCTCCTCCTCCTCCTCCGGGCCCGGCGAGCGCTTCGGGGTAAATAGGCTGCTCGCGTCCCTCTGAGGGCCACGTGCGCGGCAAGGAGTCGCGACGGTTGCGCCTCGTTTTTCGGGCTTGCAGTCGGCTGAGGGCGGCCGGTGTTGGCGCAGGAAAATCTTGAAACTGAGGTTAGGAACCTCGGTTCAGCAGCGAGGAGGAGTAGGAGGAGGAGGAGGAGGAGTAGGAGGAGGAGCGAGGAGGAGGAGGCGTTTATCTTGTAGCTGCTGCTTCTCTTGCCGTTGTCGCCGCCGCCCCACCGCTGCTGCTGATGCTGCCGCTGCTGCTGTAGCTGCTGCTGTGTTTGCTGCTGCTGTCTGCTGATGCTGTTGCTGCTGCTGCTTCTGCTTCTGCTGATCCTGCTGCTGATGTCTGCTGCTGCTGCTCCTGTTGCTGCTGCTTCTGCTGCTGCTGCTGCTGTTGCCTCCTCCTCCTCCTCCTCCTCCTCCCCCTCGCCCTCGCTCTCCTCGTCGTCGCCTGTGTCCGTGGCCATTTTGGCTCAAGCCATTTTGGCTGAAGCCATTTTGGCTCAAGTGTTTCTTCGGCTTGCGACGGCCTTCTTCCGAGCGGCAGTCGCTGTTGCGAGTCGTGGCTCGGTTTCAGCGCATCTCTCGCCGCCGAGTGCGGCATTCAGGTTGCATAAGCTGATGGATCCAGCTTGGGCGAAGAGGCCATGGATAAAGTCAGACACAGACGAGGTTGCGCGTCTGACGAAGCCTCACTACTCATTACTAGGGCTCACGCCGCAAGGCACGTTGGCTGCACAACAAGGTGATGACTCATGACGGTGCGCGTCAGGGCCATGGAGAGGAGCGTCATCGAGGCGCCGCCGGCCCCTCCTCCGCCTCCAGTTTTGGTGGGCAGGCACCCTCCGCCTCCTGCGCCTCCGCGGACAGGGAGCCGTCAGAGCGAGGAGCGCCATCGGAGCAAGAGCCCTCCGCGCTCAGCTTCGCCGCCTGCAAGGAGATCGGGGACGAGGGCGGCAAGTTCGAGGCCGCAGCCGCCGTCTTCCTTTCCACCGGTTGCGGCGAGGCCGCCGAAGCACATGGTCCATGGTAGATTGTTCGGAGTCGAGCAGCCAGTCCCTTGCCAGGCGCAGTGCGAGGAGGTCGCCGACCTCGGCGGCGCCGCGTCCAGCAGCGCGTTCCAGGAGTGCGGGTCCCCAGCCAAGGTCTACCTCGCGGAAGTCAGCGTCGTGGCGGAGGGCTCGATCATCCAAGGGTTCCAGGTTCAGAGGGCGGAGCCCTCCATCACGGATGCGCTCGTGGAGGCCGTCGCATGCGAGGCCAAGGGGGCGCTTCCCCGCGCGTTCGATAACGAGGGTGAGCAGGTGCAGGTCCCCCTCGAGGCCGCCAGGAGAGTGGCGGACTCCTGTGGGGGGCCACGCAATTCCACCGCGTCGTCGGAGTGCCTCCAGGATTTCGGCGAGTTCAAGCAGGTAATTGCCACCCTCATCGGCTGCGCCGACGCAGAACATGCAGCGGAAGATGCAGCGCCAGGAGGCGCGGCATAAGCGCAGGCAGTCTCGGAATGACCGTTTGGAGTCCATGCAGGAGAGGCTTCGTGTGCTCAAGTGCTAGCGCGAGGTCTCTATGGTAAAGGACAACCAGAAGCAAGATATCAAGCGTACGGCCGGCACAAGGCTTAAGAACTTCGGCGTTTCGGGGAGGGTACCCTTATGTTCTTCGTTTTTGTTCCATGTTCTTGTGCACCCTGGGGGAGGGTATCCTCGATGTTCTTCAGTTTGGCGCCATTATTCCTTCGTTCTGACAAAGCTGGGGCCCGGGGTTCACGATTAGGCTACGAGCGTCCGCGGCGGGGGCGGGGCCCTCCATGTTCTTCGGTCCCGAAGTCACGGTGCGGCCTTCAGCAACCGCGTGCCCCATCATGATGGTGGTGCGATTGCAATCACCCTCGCATGTTCTTAGGGGACTGTTTGGCGTTGGTGGGCTTCGGGCTGCGGGGCTTAGGGCGTGCGGATGCAGGCTTGATTGAGGCTGCGTACGCACGTAGGCCGCTGGGCTCGCGCGTCCGCGGCACGGGCAGGACCCTCCATGTTCTTCGGTTTCGATGTCAAGGTGCGGCCTCCAGCAACCGCGTGCCCCTTATGATGGCGGCGTGAGTGCAATCACCCTCGCATGTTCTTAGGGGGGAACTTGGCGCTGGTGGGCTTCAGGTTTCGGAGAGTAGGGTGCGCGGCTGCAGGCGTGAGTCGCATGAGGCTAGGGCGGGCGGGAGAAGCCACGCGCAGCTTCCTGGGCTGCGGCAGGGCTGAGAGGTTGGATGTGCGGATGACGTTCAGGACGTAGCGCTGACGTCGGTCCTATGCTAAGGCCCATGGGGTAGGCCGCAGGGCTCGCGCATCCGCGGCGCGGGCAGGACCCTCCATGCTCTTCGGTCTCGATGTCAAGGTGCGGCCATCCGCAACCGCGTCCCCCTGGATGATGGTGGCGCGAAAGGAATCGCCCTCGCATGTTCCTAGGAGAGAGTTTGGCGGTTGTTGGGCATCAGAGCGGGGTATGTGCGCGCGCGCGCGCGTGCGTGCGTGTGTGCGTGTGTGCGTGCGTCCTACCGAGGGCCACGCAAAACTTGACATGCGCGTCTGCGCTGCCGAAAGCGAGTTAAGAGGCCCGCGTTGTCAGCAATAGGAGAGTCGCCATGTTGGCTTGGAAAATCAAAGTGAACCTTCAGCGTCGCCAGTCAGGTTTCCAAGTTAGCATGGGCTCTGGGCATTGTGGTCAGCAGCGGCGCATGCAACCACTTCTCGCGCGCGCCTGCGCCGCTGCGCGCGCGGCGGCGCAGGGGCGTGGGGCGCTCAGTGTTATCAGCAGTAGAAGAAGCGCCATGTTGGCCTGGAGAATCAAAGTGGACCACTAGCGGTTGCCAATTGGATTTCCAAGTCAACATGGGTTCTGGTGTACGTGTCTTGCAACGGCGTATACAACAACCCCTCGCGCGCGCGGCGGCGCGTGCGCGTGGGGCGCACCGCGTTATCAGCAATAGAAAAGTTGCCATGTTGGCCTGGGAAATCAAAGTGAACCCTTAGTGGTTGCCGATTGGATTTCGAAGTTAACATGGGTTTTGGTGCATGTGTTCTACAACAGCGCAGACAAACACTCCTCGCGCGCGCCTGCGCCGCCGCGCGCGCGGCGGCGTGTGCGCGTGCGGAGCTTCGCGTTATCGGCAATAGAAGAGTCGCCATGTTGGCCTGGAAATCAAAGTGAACCCTTAGCGGTTGCCACTTGGATTTCCAAGTTAACATGGTTTCTGGTGCATGTCTTCTGCAACAGCGCGCGCAAAACTTCCTCGCGCGTTCCTGCGCCGCCGCGCGCGCGGCGGCGCGCGCGCGCGAGAAACGCCGCAGCGCCAGCAATAGGACAGTTGCCGCGTTGACTGGGGAATTCAAAGGGAGCCCTTGGAAGTGGGCAGTTTGATTTCCAAGTTAACATGGGTTTTGGTGCATGTGTTCTGCAGCGGCGCATGCAAACACTTCTCGCGCGCGCCTGCGCCGCCGCGCGCGCGGCGGCGCAGGGGCGTGGGGCGCTCAGTGTTATCAGCAGTAGAAGAAGCGCCATGTTGGCCTGGAGAATCAAAGTGGACCACTAGCGGTTGCCGATTGGATTTCCAAGTCAACATGGGTTCTGGTGTACGTGTCTTGCAACGGCGTATACAACAACGGCGCCGCCGCGCGCGCGGCGGCGCGTGCGCGTGGGGCGCCCCGCGTTATCAGCAATAGAAAAGTTGCCATGTTGGCCTGGGAAATCAAAGTGAACCCTTAGTGGTTGCCGATTGGATTTCGAAGTTAACATGGGTTTTGGTGCATGTGTTCTACAACAGCGCAGACAAACACTCCTCGCGCGCGCCTGCGCCGCCGCGCGCGCGGCGGCGTGTGCGCGTGCGGAGCTTCGCGTTATCGGCAATAGAAGAGTCGCCATGTTGGCCTGGAAAATCAAAGTGAACCCTTAGCGGTTGCCACTTGGATTTCCAAGTTAACATGGTTTCTGGTGCATGTCTTCTGCAACAGCGCGCGCAAAACTTCTCGCGCGTTCCTGCGCCGCCGCGCGCGCGGCGGCGCGCGCGCGCGAGAAACGCCGCAGCGCCAGCAATAGGACAGTTGCCGCGTTGACTGGGGAATTCAAAGGGAGCCCTTGGAAGTGGGCAGTTTGATTTCCAAGTTAACATGGGTTTTGGTGCATGTGTTCTGCAGCGGCGCATGCAAACACTTCTCGCGCGCGCCTGCGCCGCCGCGCGCGCGGCGGCGCAGGGGCGTGGGGCGCTCAGTGTTATCAGCAGTAGAAGAAGCGCCATGTTGGCCTGGAGAATCAAAGTGGACCACTAGCGGTTGCCGATTGGATTTCCAAGTCAACATGGGTTCTGGTGTACGTGTCTTGCAACGGCGTATACAACAACCCCTCGCGCGCGCGGCGGCGCGTGCGCGTGGGGCGCCCCGCGTTATCAGCAATGGAAAAGTTGCCATGTTGGCTTGGGAAATCAAAGTGAACCCTTAGTGGTTGCCGATTGGATTTCGAAGTTAACATGGGTTTTGGTGCATGTGTTCTACAACAGCGCAGACAAACACTCCTCGCGCGCGCCTGCGCCGCCGCGCGCGCGGCGGCGTGTGCGCGCGCGGAGCTTCGCGTTATCGGCAATAGAAGAGTCGCCATGTTGGCCTGGAACACATGCACCCAAACCCATGAGTTGCGCCGCTGCAAAACCCAGAGTTGTTGGGGGCGCCGCGGGGTTGGGGCGAGAGCTCGCGCGCGTGCATGAGTGCCAGGGCGTGAGACGTGGCGCTGAGGCCCACTGCTAGAGCCCTAAGCTGGCCGCAGGCCTCGCGCGTCCGCGGCGTGGGCAGGACCCTCCATGTTCTTCGGTCTCGGTGTCAATGTGTCGCCTCCAGCAGCCGCGCGCTCGTGGATGACGGCGGCGCGGAGACGCACACCCTCGCATGTTCTTGTTTTGGGGCAACAGCAGCCTGGAGCTGGGCCTAGGGTGGCGGGGGCCAGGCCGCGCGGCCGCGGCCTTGAGTCTGGGGCGAGCAGGCGAGGTCGCGCGAGGCTCCCTGGGGCGCCGCGGGGTTGGGGCGAGAGCTCGCGCGCGTGCATGAGTGCCAGGGCGTGAGACGTGGCGCTGAGGCCCACTGCTAGAGCCCGACTAAGCTGGTCGCAGGCCTCGCGCGTCCGCGGCGCGGGCATGACCCTCCATGTTCTTCGGTCTCGATGTCAACGTGCTGCCTCCAGCAACCGCGCGCTCGTGGATGACGACGGACGCGCGGAGGCAGATCCAGGGCACAGGAACACAGCGTGGGTCTCGGGGGGCGGGGGGGGCCAGGGCTTCGGGGTGGCGTGGTCCAGGCTGTGCAGTCGAAGGCTTTAGGCTGGGGGCTGAACCAGATGCGTACTTACGCACGTTGGCTCGGAAGTGAAGGTCGGGGACACCTCGGAAGGGCGTCCTCGACGTCCTTATGGTTTGGGGTACTTTGGCCCGCGGAGGGTCTCATGTTCTTGTCCGATGTTCTTGTGGCCTTGTTCCGGCCGTACGCAGAAGGAGCTCGAGATGTAGGTTCGGTAGTGGTGCCGCCAGCGCAAGACGCAGGCGCAGGTGGAGAGGTTCAATTTCCAGGGCCAGAGTTTGCGCTGAGGCTCATTCCTGTCTTCAACCTGGACGCGGAGGACGATGGGCCAGAGTTGGACGACTACGAGGACGAGTGCTGCACGCGTGCCTCGGCGCTTGCATTGCGAGCTCCAGGAGACGCTGATCATGATGTGCAGACTTGTCAAAGTGCGTTTGAAAAGCAGGGTGGTCCTTCGCACCATGATGTTCACGGCTTCCCCACCCCAGGAAGACGATCCTTTTCCTTTTGTCGACGGCAGCCAGAAGCACCTTGATGGCGACCATAGCGCCGTTGGCGACCGCAGTTTTTTGCTGAGGGCCAGTCTGCTTGGAGGAGGGGGGTCCACAAGAGCCAGAAGCACTTTGATTCCGACCAGAGCGCTGCTGGCGGACGCAGTTTTGTTGAGGACTGGTCTGTTCGGAGGACGGAAGTCCACGAGTTTTTGTTTTGACCTCTTACCCTGCCGAGGAGGGGGTGCAGGAGGATCCAGAGCCAGGAGGATCTGACTATGGGGAAGTTGGTTGCCTCGCTGGAGCGTGCCCTGGCGGTGCTGGGAGCGCCTCCCACGAGGCGAAGGTCTCGCAGCAGAGCAAGGCACCCGAACCTCCCCGCCGTCCGACTCCTGTTTTCAACGCTGGCGGAAGCCACGGTTTTGGTGGGGCCGAGGAGATGGCGGAGGATAATCCTGAGTCAGGAGGTTCTGACGATGGTGTTGTTGAGGCTGGCCTCGCTGGAGCGTTGCCTGGCGATGCTGGGGGCGCCTTCCACGAGGCCACCGATTTTGGCAACAGCGACCAGCGCTTTGATTGCGACCCGAGCGTTGGCGGCAGCCAGAGTTTTGTTGAGGACCAGTCTGCTTGGGGGAAACAGGTCCACGGAACTTTTTCGAGCTCTCATACCGCCGAGGAGATGGCGAAGGAGAATCCAGAGTCAGGAGGCTCTGACGATAGACGATAGTGCAGAAGATGATTTTCCAGATCCCCACGGCCTTCGTGGGGCTTTCGGGCCTCTTGGCGGTGATCCGTGATCCGCCTCCACAGGCAGGTCAAGAGCCAGCGGCGCCTTGCGATGGCGTGGTGGTGCCAACTGATCTTTGGCGCATTGCTTTGGCTTCCTTGGACGGAGTGCTCACGGTGCGCCAAAGGCGCAGGCTGGCCAAGATGACACGCTCGGCCCTCGTGACTGGGGCGTCCAGGGAGGCGATTGTGCACGCCATCAAGGGCCCCGACAACGAGAGTTTGCGCGCCGTGGCGTGCCGCTACGTTCTGCCCCCAGTGGCCTCCGGAGAGAAAATCGCCGTCGCCTGCCCCCCGCTCCTCCGCTCCGCCCATGTCCCATGTCCCATATCCCGCTTCCTCTTATAAGCCGCCTGGATCGATCGAAGGTAGTTGGTTTGCGGCGCCGCTCGCTTGACCGAGCTGGCATTGGGCTCGTCTGGTTGGATTTGTTGCAGTGGCGTGAAGTCACGCAGAACGTTGACCTGAATTCGTTGACGGTGGTGTAAATGGCAGGCTGTGGCGCGCAAGCAATGGTATTTCGCGGACTGATGCGCGCAATTCGGCGGGCTTTGTAATTATTGGACATCGACTTCTTTAAAAGCATGTGGGGGTGCTAATCAATTTTCAATTCTTGGATGCCGTGTTTTGAATTCTTGGACAGCGACGTTCTGTATACCATGATCATATATTAATTCATGGACAACGAGCCCTTGAAGTTCTTAATTCTTGGACAACGATTCCTTTGAAGAGTTTTAATTCGTTGACATCAAGCTCTTGAAACTCATTGTATTTGTTTAATATTCGGACATCGGCGTTTTTAATTATCGGGATGTCACTGGGCTACTGAACCATCGGGGCCGATCAGCTGAAAGGTGTCCTCTTCGGTGGACGTGTGGCGTTCATTGCGGCGGGTCGCCCCCCCCCCCCTCCCCCCTTGCTGGAACGGTACCGAACGTACGCGGGGGTGTGGTGGCGGTTCCCTTACAGCCAGGGTGTGCGTGATGCTCACAGGCATGCTGTGGTATTGTTGGGCGTGCTTTTTGCGCCCAAGAATCGTGGGGCCATCATTTTCTGCTTCACAGTCGGGCTCTTTGTTTTCTGCTTTTGGAATCGTAAGGCGTTCCGATGTTCTGCCTCACAGTCGTGATGCTGGTGTTTTTGCTTCAGACTCGAGTCTCCGCGCTGTGTTTCTTAAGCTATGTTTCGAAGAGTTGCCAATTGCGCGGTCTTCTGTCCACGCGTCCTGCTGGACGCTCGGCTCAGCAGTGGTTTTGCTGCCTTTTCGTCTTTCCCTGAAGGTTTTCTTGCCCTGGGATGCGTTCCAGCAGCTGCGCCTCCCCGAGAGCGTTCCGAGATTGCCCAGACCGTCCCGAGCGGCCGCCAGGGACCCGAGTTACGATCCGAAAGCCGAGTGATCCCGATTCTGGCCAGCCTGATCCGATTCGAATGTGCCGACGATCCGATTCATGCCGATGCCTGCACGGCGCTGAGGTGCATCCTGGCGCGGCCGAGCCGATTCCATTCTGCCTCCGTGCCGATGCGGCCCGATTCGATTCGACGCCCGTGCCGATCCGACCCGAATTTTTCCGATTCGATGCAGGCTGATCCTGCCCCCCAGGGCGACTTCGTCATCGTGCCAATGCCGCCCGACGGCCCGAACGGGGGCAGCCCGGCGGACCAGGACTCGGAGGAGGACAACTACTCCGGATCTCTTCGTAAGCGTGGGGGGGTCCCCCCCCCCCGACGGGGGTCAACCTCGCCTCGTCGTCGCGCCGCGACGGGGGTCGGAGCGCCTTCGGCGCGCGGTGGCTGCCCGCGAAGGGGGTCGGTGTGGGGCTGTCGGCGGGGGTGACGCCCCCCCGACGCTCATTAAGAAACTCGGAGTACACAGGCCTGCCCAGTTTCGGGGGCGGCCAAGAGGGGGGTGATGACTAGGGGGGGCGGATATCATGGCGGGGGCCATGAGGGTTCCCCAGATTTCGTGGCGCCTCTTCTTCTTTCAGCACGTCCCTGGCCCCCCCCCCCCCCGGGCCGCGCACATGCCGCCGGCCATGACTTGCGGCCCCCCCTCTTGGAGGCCCCCCTCTTGGCCGCCCCCGATAGTTCCTCCCCCTCCCCTCCCAGAAAGGCTTTCGTCTCTCCTTCGCCACCGCCGGGCTCTCGTGGGGCCGCCCCTCCTGGGGCGACCAGACCGGCGCCCTGCCTCGCTTCGCCTCGCCTCGCCTCCCAGAAAGGATGCAGAACTCAGTCAGGGGAGGGAGCGAGGGGGCGAGGGAGGGAGGGAGGAAAGACCCCCGCATACGGAGAGTTCTTGGCTGTCTTCCCAGACCCCCGACGTCATGATTTTTTCATGACGTCGATCCCCAGCGGTCTGGACCCATTCCCCGGGACCGGTTTTTCCTCCTGAGTCGTTTTTTGACGGTCCCGAGGGCCGGTAAGGGCCCCCAGATGCCGAAAATAGAGAAAAACCTGCCGTCATGATTTTTTCACGACTCGAGGGGGTCTGTCTTCGGCCTTCGGGGGAGCCTCGCCATAGGCCCCAGAGCCAAAGGAGGAGCCGCTCGGGGATGGAGGCGCCGGCCCCGGCCGAGACCTCCAGAGGGAGCCACGCTGTCCAAGCACGGCCTCGGAGGTCCTGGGGAGGCAGGGGGCGGACCTGTACCGCCCGGTCGTTGCTCTCCTCCTCCTCCTCCTCCTCCTCCTCCTCCTCCTCCTCCTCCTCCTCTCCTCCTCCTCCTCCTCCTCCTCCTCCTCCTCCTCCTCCTCCTCCTCCTCCTCCTCCAGGCCGGACGACAGCGGGGATTGGGAAAAGGGGGTACGAAATTTGCTGCATGCAGCTGGTTTCGGCCCCACCGAGGGGCCCATTCCTCGATACATTTGGCGCCGGGCGGCGCCGGGAAAATCAGCCACGTGAGCTGCTTCTTAAATCCCCCCCTTTGCTATCCCCCCCTCTCGCCCGACCCGAGCGAGGCCGGGGCGGAGCTGGCGGCCGCGGGGCAGAGGCGGGCAGGCTCTGTGGCGCTGCTGGTGTGCGACGTGGCGGGCGGGCACCTGCCCGGCGGCCTGGGCCAGCCGTGCGGGGTGGAGGTGGTGCTCAGCTTCGGGGAGGCGTGGACACGCACGCCGTGCCAGGATCGGCTCGGGCCGGGGGGGGGGGGCAGGGGCTCGCAGGCCCAGAGGTCGACACCAACACCGAGATCGGCGGTGTGCGTCCACCGAGGCAGGACGATCCCAATCTCGGTGATGGTGACAACATTTTGGTTTCCAAGGTGACCGCACTATTACCACCAACACCGAAATCTAGGATCAGTTTCCCCATGTGGAGGCAACCTCTTGTGCTGGTGTTGGTGCCAATTTCCAGGCCTCCAAAGAGGGGTTCGAGGTTCGAGATTCGTGCTCGCACGCTTTCGTCGGTTCTCGGCTGTTTTGCACCCTCGGGATGCTCTGCGGCAGCCGCGCCTCGCCGAGAGCGCCCCGAGGGTGCCCCGAGTCGTCCCGAAAGGTCACTGGAGGCCCGAGTCATGACCCGCATTGGGGAGGCGAGGGCCGCTCGGGGTGGGCGGAAAGGGGGAATTGGGGAGGGGAGTGGGGGCAGAATCTGCCGCACGCAGCCGGTTTCGGCCCCGCCGCCGGGCGCGCCTCCGGCACGGGAGGCGCTGGGCAAGCCCGCTGCGTGGGCTGATTCGCCAACCCTCCCTTGGCGTGGCCTCCCCCCCGCTTCTCGGCCGACCCAGCAGGACGCGGAAGCGGGCTCTGGGGGCACCCTCCCGGAGGACACGCAGAAGCGGGTGGAGCGCCTCGCGCAGAAGGACTACTCCGCCGCCGAGATCGCGGAGGCGTTGGGCGAGGAGGTAGCGGATGTCGCCCGCTCCTTGCGGAAGAGCAACCACAATCTGCGCGTGCAGCACAAGCTGTTCTTGCACCTTCGGCCATCGGACTTTACGGATTCCTGGCGGATTCGTTTCTCCATCGTGTCGGCGAGTAGAGGCAGAAAGGTCCTGGCGGAGGGCAGTTTCCCCCTCTCCGCCTTACTGGAGTCGAGCACGGGCAAGCAGGACGGCGAGGTTGTGTGCAGCTCCGTGGACGGCCACGAAGTGAAGCTCGACGTGGAACTGGGACTGCTTGTCCTCATCCCGCGCACTGAGGAGGGTGCCGACCAGCAGTGCTCTCCGGGGACAGACGAATCTGTGTTTCTAGATGGCCATCGGGGTGCCCCGAGCATGCTCAAGCGGCAGACGACGCGCGCTCTGGGGAGCATCAGCAAGAAAAGCTTCGAGACCTGCTGCATGAGGGCCCTGCGGTCGCCATCGGCGATGACGACGGCGGGTCCGAGGGCGACGGCATCACCCGCGGGACCCCTGCCCGTCATTGTCGGCCGCACTCGCAGCCAGGCGGTTTGAGTCGCTCGCGACTGTAGGAAGCGTGGCCCAAAGCCGGCTGTCTCTGCGTCGGAAGAGACGGCAGCCTGCTGCCTCGCGTGGGCAGACGGAGGGCTAGCGCAGGGGCTCGGGCCAAAGGGCGCCGTGCATTTCCTTGCCCGCGGCGAGGCGCCCTGACTCAGAGCAGCTGCCGCCGCGGGAAAGGAGGGGGGGGTGCACGTGGGTGTACGAGACAGCACGGCACGCTGCCGTCGTGTCTCAGGAGGGGAAAACACACACAGACACAATTAGTCGTCGATTCCCCAGAAAATATAGGAAAATATGGGAAGTGGGGGTGAAGACAGAAATCCAACAAATATGGGAAACTATCGGGAATCTTTTTATTTGTGTGTATTTAGTTGTGTGTCCTGGGGCCCCTTCAACGGTACGCTGCCGTCGTGTCGTGTCGACGCGGCGGCGACCTCAGCCTGGACGTTCAAAAGGTTGAGCACCGCCGGTGGCCCAGAGTCGGCCGATACCGCACGAGCTGCGCCAGCGGGAGGCCGCGATCGCTCGAGGCTGAGGGGTCTGCACGGCGTCAGGAGCTACAGTCGGGGCCCTGAAGAAGGAACCCTTTTCGTTGGGGAGGGGCTCCGCGTTCCTTAAGTGTTACGCAGCTTGCCTCAGGTTTTCCTTATGTTTTCGATCGGAAATCGAAGTTTAACTCATGGAAACAAGGGGCCTTGTTCCTTATTTTGGGTTCCTTATGTCAAGCCCCCGACTGTAATGCGAAGTCGTCACAGCACGAGTTTTCGCTGTGCTCTCGGTGTCTTCTCCCGTAATGGGGGGCGATGGCAAACGAGCAGTTCGCCTGTGATTTCCCCCACGGGAGCAGAATAGTCTGCCCCCCCATGCTGGCAGACGTGTGCGGGTGACACACACGCACATGTATCTAGAGAGAGACACACACAACACAACGAAAGAAAGATATCGAGACGCACCGTTCGCCTTCCGCGTCGCCTGCTTCTCGCACCTCCGCAGAGAGGCTCGACCGAGCCGCGCGCCGCAGCTTCCTGGAGCCCCAGTCCAGGACCATGAGCTCTGAGAGCTTGCCGTCCATGGCCGCCCTGGATGCCAGGGCGGTGATGTGTCCGCCCTGAGAGTGCCCATCTGGACGGCTTGCCCAGGCCGCGTCGCACCAGGTGAAGAGGGCCAGGTCGTCCAGGGCATCGCGGAAGATCTGCATCCCCATGTGGCGGCCCTGCTTGGTGAGCTTAACGATGCTGTTCGCCGCCATGGAGAAGGTGTGCGTCCCCGTCGGGATCTTCGACTGGAGGTCAGCGACCCACGAGAGAAGAAAGGGCATGGTGTTCACGCCGAGCAAGCAGATTTCTCCGCGGAAGGCCCTGAGCACCGTCGTATCCGCGCCCGTCAGGGTGTCCGTGGTGCGCCGTTTGCTCCCGCTCGTCGTTCGGACTTCTAGTATCTTGTCGACGTACGCCTTCTGGTGGAGGAAGAAGCCCTTCTCGTTTCTTTTCGATCGTGACGCCGCACTGTTCGAGGGAGGTGGCCCCTCGTTCATGTCCTCCCAGTTCCCCCACGTGTAGAGCCCCCGGATCTGCTTGACCTTAGTTTGTCACTCGGGGTGCGAGATGTCACCCGCCAGGATGAAGTCGTCCACGTGCGCCATGGCCATCTCGGTCAATCTGCCGGTCTTGGAATATCGGGCTTTCCAGAGGCAGGGCTCTAGCTCGCGCGCTTGGAGGCCGAACTTCGAGAAGTCCTTCTCAACCGTCTCCCACCAGTGGCGGGATGCCTCGCCGATACCGTACCCTGGTTTCACCATTTGGAGGATCTTGCCGTCCTTCACGTCGAACGCCTTCTTGAGCACGGCGTCGGGCCCGATGAAGAGGTCCTTGTCCAACTCGTGAGCCTGCAGGAAGGCCGAGGTCACGTCTCCCTTGATTAGCTTCCAGTGGTTCGACGCACTCACTGTGAGCATGACATTCCGAGCTCGTCGGGAGGCCGTCGGGCTTGCTGTCGGCTCCTGACCCAGATCCTTGGTCTGGTAGCCGAGGGGCACCAGTCGCGCCTTTGCCTTCCAGTTCGTTCTTTGGGTGACGAGCCGTCTCGCCCTGATAACGTCGGCGGCGTCCTTGACCCGAGAGATGGGGACGGGTTGGAGTCCCTGATGTTGGACCCAGTTGTTGGTTTCCCTAGCGATGGTTCCTTCGAACTCCTTCCGCTCGCTGGGGTTTATCTTTGACCACGTGAGCTCCACCTTGTCCTTGCGGCGCTGGTTGACGCCGAAGCTGTCCAGGATGTGGTTCCTCAGGTCGCGGCGCCCATCGGGTGTGGTGCTCTCGTCCACAAGGTACTCGAAACAGGCGGTCTGGTGTTCGTCGTTCCCGAGAGTGATTTCCAGCTTGTCGTGGAGGAGGTTGGCCGGGAAGTTGGACTCGTCGTCCACGGCAGTGCCCCTCTCTCCGTCTGGACCCTCCTGGCGCTTCTCGAGAGGCACATGTAGATCCAGCTTGGGTCCGCGGTGTGTCATGCGCCATCGGGGTCTGGAATCGCCACGGGATGCCGCGCCCGCCGCTGATGACGGTGCTCCTTCAGGTCGGGGTCGTGACAGTGCCCTGGAAACCTGGCGGGCAGGTGCTGTCGTCCTTGCACATGCTGCCGGTGGTGTCGGTGCCGCTGTCCTCTCTCCCGAGCGAGGTGGAGGCGATCGAGACCGGCGGTCGGGGATCTCGCTTGGTTCACCCTCCGGCTGAGTCGCTGAGCTGGGCGTCATCTGTCGCGAGGGTTTTGCAGCACTGGCGGCATCATTGCCAGTCTCAGCAGGGTCTTCCGCCTCATCCATGGCCGAAACAGGTGGTTCCTCAGCGGCGGTGGTGTCTCGGGGGATCTCCATCACAGGCTGTGGCGGGTGTTCGTAGTCTCGAAGGTCTGGACGACCCTGCCCCAGGAGGTCCTCGTAGGTCCCCGCCCTCGCAGTCTCCAGAATCTTCGTGACGGTCTTGCCGAGGTCCGTCTGCCGCTGCAACTCGGTGATCATCTTCTCCGCTTCTGAGGCGGCTCGTAATCGATCAGGGGCGCACCTGAGGAGCACGCTCCCGTGGGAGGCCCATATCACCAACGTAGGGCGGGTCCGTCCGTCCACGTGTCGTTTCTCCTGCACCAGGATGCGTGCGGGGCCGTACCAGCCCCGCTTCTTGGCGGGGCGTCTCTCAAGGCCCTGCCCCTTACGCCAGAGGTCCCCTGAGCGTGCCGGCGACGTTCCGCAGATTCTCTTTCCAGGAAGCTCTTGCCCGCGAGTAGGCGTCGCTGCTCTTGTGTCTCGCCGGTGTCCCCGTCTATGATGGCGAACGGGTTGCTCGAGGCGGGCATCCCGGCCACTCCCATCACGTGCTCGAAAGGCGAGTGGTTGCCAACCTTGTCCGTGCTGTTGATCTCCCCCACGGCCCAGAAGATCAGCTCTTCAATGGGACACTCTGGGGCCAGGGTCGCCAGCTTCGCTGGTCGTTTGAGGAGTTGGATCCGCCTCTCACCCCTTGCCCATTAGCCAGGGGGCCCAGCCCGGAGCAGTCCACAGCTCGATGCCTCGGTCCGAGCACCACTTGGCAATCGCCTGAGAACGGTGGCAGCCTTCGGGGTCGAGGCGTAGGAGGCTCGGCCGACGGCAGTAACTGCAACGCGTGCTCCACGTCGAGATCACCTCGGACGTCGACCTGTTGCCGTTCCGCTTCCCCATCCTGCCCATGGTCCAGTCGGGGCCCCGAAGAAGGAACCCTTCTCGTTGGGGAGGGGCTCCGCGCTCCTGAAGTGTTTCACGGCCTGCCTCGGGTTTTCCTTAATATGTTGTCGATCGGAGATCGAAGCTTCACTCATGGAAACAAGGGGCCCAGTTCCTTATTTTAGGGTTCCCTAGGTCAACGCCCCGACGGTAGGTGGCGCTCGTCAGCCCGGGCCCGTTGTCCAGGTTCGGCGCGTCAGCGTGAGGGGTGTCCAGCGTCGGCCTCGTCCAGGTCGTCGATGGCTGCCCTGAAGAATCGGAGGTTGATAGACCTCCTACCCTGACACGTCGATCGAGGAATTGGCCGTGTTCGGTTCGCGAGGGGGCGTCGCGGCCGTCATTTTTGCGGGTCCAGGTCCGCCGGTTTCGGTCCCAGGCCGTTTTCACTAAGGGGAGGTCTACTAAAGGGAGGTTTGTCCACCGCCGAAAGAAGGTGACCTTCTAGAGCTGACTCCTCTTCGCCCTCGGCGTCCTCTGGGATCTGCTCCAGGCCTGCGTTGATCTCTCAGGAGGGGAAAGAACACACAGACACAATTGACGAACCAACAACACACACCCATACCCATAGGGGGATCGGAGAGGGCTATGGGTGCGTGTTGTCGGATGGGGGTCCCCGCTCGAACGGGAGCGTTCCCCAGGGTCCGACAACCCGCACCCATACCCATAGCCAGTCCTCCTCCCAACGACCCCCCTGTGGGTATGGGTGTGTGTTGTTCGTTCGTCAACAATGAATCGTCGATTCCCAGGAAAGTATGGAAAAATATGGGAAGTGGGGGGGAAGACAAAAACCTAGGAAATATACGAAAACATGGGGAATCCGGTTAGTTGTGTGTATTCATTTGCGTGTCCCAGGGCCCCTTCAATCTCCTTGGCGTAGCTGACGCCCGTGTTCTTGCGCATGAGGTGCTTCGCCCAGGCCTTACACTGCGCCGGCGGGTATAGTACGCGGTCTGAGCCCCCATCTGGCCGTCTTCGATGGCCCGGTGGATGTGGTTGTCGCCTCTCGAGCACGTTCTCCCGAGCTTCGCGCTGAACTCAGTGTCGGTCGAACAGGTCCGCCAGGCCTTCTCCATCAAGAGGCCAGACCGCGCCTCGATGAGGCCATAGGCACACCCATGAATCACGGTCTCGTGCATCTGTTCTCGCATTGCCTTGATGGATGGCGACTGCGACCAGCTCCGACTCGTGGCTGGCTGTTCGAGATCTGTGTGGCAATCGGCGATCTTCGGTGTCTCCTCCCAGA